ATATAATATAAAACCACTTAGAACTTCCTTAAGTCCTAGGGTTCTCTATTTTCATTCACTAACTCTCTAATATTTGGAAATCATTTCAATGTAGGTTTTTAATATATCTGATACAGTATGTAAACTACATTATTCTATTACACCAGACTTATTCTTTCATTCATTCAAATAGTATTTATTGAACAGTAAATATATACCAAGTATTATTTGGAATATCTTCCCACTTCATATTGTTTTTAACACCTTTCTTGTGATGAAGACAGATGGCAGAAAGAAGAGGGAGTTCACTTTAATATCAAAGGAGTGATATATTTAGGAAATGAATTTGAGGTTTCGCGGGGGTTCTTTGTTTATTTGTTTTTAAACTTTCCATTTGCAAAGAGCAAATGGAAATGATTTCATATGAGTAGCCAGGAATTTTGGAAATGATTTCATATGAGTAGCCAGGAATTTTCCACCATTATCACCTCCTGCTGTCTTACCCATAAAAGAGGGATGATTTTGTGGATTTCCACATAGAGGAGAATAGCAGAGAGGTGGGCTGACAAGGTTTGAATTGTGGATTGATATCTGGATGGATGCGTGATTTCAGGCAAGTGCCTTAACCTCCCTGTTTCTGACTTTTCGCAGCTGCAATATGATAATCACAAAAGTGCCTAATTCACAGGGCTGTTGTGACGAATAAACAAGGCAATGCACAAAGGGCTTCTAATAGTACCTGGCACATGCTAAGCGCTCTAGGAACTGATGGATAATGCACTGGAGTTAGACTACTTCCGTGATGCAAACATCACAGAAGATGTTTGTTTTATTCACCACTTCATCTTAAAAATCTAGTTTAGTGCTTGGCATAAAGTAGATATTTAAAAAACATGTGTTGAATACATACAGAAGTGAGTAGGGATGAGGAGACTGACTCCCAGGTTCTACTCCTAACCTTGCCACTACCTACTGCCCGTCTCGCCCACTGTGCCCAGCTGTGAGAACTTGGAATAGTCACTAGATAGTCCTAGATCTAGCATCTCTTTTGTAAAATGGAAGGATCATGCAAAAGAATGATAAACTATGTAGCTATAAACTAGAATCGATAATCAACTACTACACTTTTCAGAAAAAGGATGATAATAACCTTACCGCAACATAATTTGGAAATAATCAACAGTATGAAGACTCTACAAAGTTGTTCTACTGTGGTTTTAACATTTTCAAAAGAAATTCAATGGAGGTCGTCTGCTTCATCAAAAAGGGCGGTAAAACTCACTAGCACTAATGCCATCACTCAGATATGCTACCTTTCCCTACCAGTTCTGTGTAGAGGGAAGGAGAAAGAAGTTGGTTATAGAGTAATTAATGTACAAACTTGCAACTAGAGTAAGAATAAGTCCTGGAGATCAAAAATGCAGCATAGCGATTATAGTCAACAATACTGTATTATATACTTTAAAATTGCTAAGAGACTAGATCTTACATGTTCTCACTGTGAAAAAGAAATAATAATGTGATGTGTGAGAGACCTTAGCTAGAGCTACACTGGTAATCATATTGCAATATGTAAATGTATCAAGTTATCACATTGTACACCTTAAATTTGTACAATGTTATATGCATAAATCTTACCTCAAGGGAAAAAAAAAGAGTATTTTAATGGTCCTGCCATCATGTATTAAACCTTTCTTGGTTTTCCAATACATCTAGGCTTGTATGTGAAAGAGCAAAACTTGACTCATAAGGAGTGTAATCAAAGTGACTCAAGCCTTCAAAGTCTCAGTTTTTCCATCTATCAAATGGGATAATAACACCTACGCCTTTGGGATTATCATGAGCATTATATGAAATAACCTGGCAAAGGACCAAGCAAGAAGCAAACTTTCAATAAATAATAGCAATTAACAGGATAATAATGATTATTATTACAATTATTTACAAGAAAACCACTTCCTCACAAATGTTAACAGTGTTCAGAGTTATCCTTCTGGCTGATACTGCACAGTGTATAAGTTGGTTTTAGGGTATGGGTTTTAGATATGCTAGTGGAGCACCTAGAAGAGAAAACAGGCAAAGAAATGTATGCCTGCTAGGTAACCCTTTGTGTGAAGTGCTGGATGGTGAGGTGGGGAAAAGAAATTAATGTTTAAACTTAGAGAAGCAGTTGGGTCAGACAACAAGAAAATGGAAAGGTAGCACAGCATAGTGGTTAAAAGTATTATGTATTGATAGTTATGTGACCTCACTTAATTTCTCTGTGCCTCAGTTTCCCCACCTAAGAAAAATGGAGACAGTAATACTGAGTGAGACTGTTAAGAAGAGTTAACATTTATAAATGGCTTAGAACAATGCCTGAAATACAGCAAGTGCTATATTAGTGTTTGTCAAACTAGGACAGTGATACAAATGGCAGAAGTTACACAGAACTGCCTGTGAAGAAACCTTTGGAGTAAAGACTAGCAAGGTGGCCTTCTAGGAGCACAATCTGGAAATCTCCCAGGCTCAGTCATCCAGCCAACAACTTGGGCTCCTCCTATGTGCAAGGTGAAGTTCTGTAGCCTTAAAGAGAATTGATTCACATTTGAAGTGACAGAGATGGGCCAGAGGCAAGGGCAGAAAGGTGCTCCAGTTGGGACCGGGAATAACAGAAGTGTGTACGTAGGTAATATGACCCTTCCTATGGTCTTCCACAGCATTCCCTAATGATCCCACAGCATCCTAGGTACCTGTTAATTATATGTAAGTGTCTCCCCAAGGCAGGGCTCTCTGAGGTGCAGACTGAGTCTTGTACACTGTAAAATCCCCCTTCCACAGTGCTCAGTAAGTATGTGTTGAGGTCGAACCAAAGTGAGGAAAAGAGTGAGCCTGTAATTACTGAGCACTCAGTTCTTGGGCCCCTAATTGCTCCCCAATCCACTTTCAATCCCCAGTGCTGATCTAAATAGCTCAGTGTTAACGTGTGGGAAGGGAGAGCTGTGATCCCAAGGACATGGCCCTTTGAGTAAGAACCTAGTCTTCTTTGTAGTGGTGGCTTAAAATTACCCAACAGTAAAGCTGGCTACAAAGCCTCCTGCTTAGGGATATCCTCCAGCCTCTTTCCTCAGTTCATCCACAAACACCTCAAAACTGGCACAAACAAAATTGAACTCACTAGCTTTGCAAATGAGCTGATTTTTTCTTCCTTCTTTCTTGACAGCCATCCATCTATCAAATTCTTTTCTGTGTTTTCCTTGAGAACGTCTCTCTCCTACAGCCCTCTCACTAATCTCTCTTCCACCACCTCACAGAATCACACTTGTATGACCGCTGCAGAGTCTCACTGCAATTCTGCCTACATATCACTGCAAGATAAATCTTCCTAAAATACACGCTTTATCATATTTCTTTCCAGTTCAAGACCGAGGCTCCCTATTTTTTACCTTTACCTAGTCTACTTTGCTCATCCTCCATACTTTGGCCCTACCCTGCCCATATATTACTTACTTATTAAGTTTTGCATGCAGAATCTTCTATTCTACTTAGTGACCTCATAGCACTAATCACTGAAATTGTTCTCTCATTTAAGTACAATATCTAAAATACTTGCTTCTCTATGCTTTGCCCATGTTGTTTCCCCTTTTGGAATATCCTAATCCTTTGGCTATTCAAGTTCTAGCTCTTAAATTAACAGCCTACTCTAAGCCACATGTGTCAGTACTAATATATGATTACATTATCCTGTGTTTCCCTCTGTTTACCGTCCTTATGCAAAAGTGTTCCCTCTTCAGGAAAACTATAAACTGCTTGAGGGCAGGGAGTTTACATTTTTATCTGTTTATTCAACAAATATTTATTGAGCTCCAGCCTTGTACCAGGCACTGCACTAGGCTCTGAGGTACCGTGATGAACAAGATAGTCATAATCTTTGTCCTCCCAGCACCTACATTCTAATGTTTATGTGTGTGTGTGGCGGGGGCGGGGGGAGTGAGATAACAAATTACACATAATTATATGCTTAGAAACTGAGGGAGGCACCATGAGGTAAAAGTATAGGGTGCCATGAGACCATTACAAAGCTTCACATTGAAAGAAAATGCCCTTGAGCTGACAGCGAATGAATAAAATACAAATAGGCAAATGTGCAAAGGTTTAAAGAAGGCTGGAATCTTAGAGGAACTGAGAAAAGTTTGGTGTCCATAAGTGCAGGGGGCAGAGGATGAGCCATATCAGATGAAGCTACTGAGGTACAAGCTGGGTGTACTTCCTTGTGTTGTACCAGAATCAAAAAGTACTTGCTAAGTGAGGGTAAACTTTAAGTGGTCCTTAAGAGTCATAAAGCATGATGACAGAGGCCATTTCTGAACTTTTCTTGTCTGTATACTTGGAGTTTACAAAAAAAGCTGAATACCCAAAGCTTAAAAAATATGAACACCTAAGTGCTTAGGACGGTGGTTGGGATGATGCAGTGTGAAGGAAATGGCTTGGAACAGGCCCCATATGGCATTAAGGATGAGAAGACCTGCTGCTATCAGCTTTGGATTTTTGTTTGTTTTCTCAAGTTCAGTAAAAAAGGCATGGACCAATGACAACTATGATATGTGTCTACTCCACATTACAAGTTTGATGCCAAAATGCTTTACACTGGTCACTTAACAGATGGTAATATATTTCAGCCATTACCAACGTGAGTAGGAATCAAACCAGTGACCCCAGCGGTGAGAGGGTGTATATCCAATTACAAATTCCCACTTTGCTTAGGTGTTAAGATGCCTAAAGCAATATATGTTATTTACATCAGGATGCATTGTATAAACTATATTTGATAAAAGAGATGACTTCACATTCTCAACTTAAATCAAAGAATGTTTACTTAAGTATTTTTTTAATTGAATCACACTTTAATGCCATCGTATAACCTTTTGGTTAACAGTGCTCATCTTGATTATTCTAACAAAGGGAAACATGGAAATTAATACTTAAGTTGTACAGCTTATGTCATCTATAAAAATACACACTAGAAAATTCAAAAGAAACACCTGGGACATCTGTGAAGGTTTCTCCAAGGACAGATACGTGGAAATTGAGTCGTAAGTCCTTAAGATGCATCAATACCTTAAAAAAACTCTCTGGATCTTTATCATGCTCCCTGGAAATAAAAACACAAAACAAAACTTGTGATATCTTAGGGTATGTGTTAGGAAAAGTGTTTTCACTTCTCATAGTATCAGTTCCTCTCATGGTCTACTGTTAGTTAGGAGAGCCTCTGGCATCCAAGCTGAGATCTTCCCTCACCCTTATACTGTAGCATTAGTATTAAGTGTTTTCATGAATCTAATTCCTCTATCATGGATCAAAACCCAGTCCTATTGAAGTCTCAAGGCTCTGCAGCCTTTTATTAAAGGAGAATCTGTTTTTTTCACATTTTTTGGTTAGACTATAGAAAGTCTACTTATTTTCCTTTCTCCTAAAATGGTTAATTTTCCACTTAACACAGGTTTTTAACAAAAGAAAAGACCAGTCTTCAAAGGACGATTCTCTACTGATCATGAGAATGTACCAAAGATGCTTTTCATTTCCATGAGTCTGAGTACCTCTCTCTCACATTTACTGAGCCTCTTTGTGTCCACAAGGAACACACAGTTTAGGGAGTGAGATTACAGACTCTCTCACTAATCTCTCATTTTTAATAATTGAATGGAGAATTATAAATACATCAAAAGGGGGTAGGCCTGAGTCTAAGTCCGCTGAGTATTAACTTAGGAGTGGAGGTTAGTCAACGCATAAAAGAATAGTAATAAAGATAATTCTTTCATTTAGTAGAAGCTTTGAAAAACATGGATTATTTTTGTTTGCTTAGCTTGTCAGTCTTCTTTGTAATGACAGAATGAGAGGCTAAAGGACACTAAAATTTAAAAAAATCACCAGTTCAAGAAATCACACTAAAATGGAATGACTTATTTTTTACATTCTAAGGTGTGAATATTTCAGTAGTTCTTGCATTTAATTACACTGTTTTAAATTATCTTATTTCAGACAGATGTGGACCAGATGTCTTCAAAATATTTGTTTTTTCATTTATAATTCAGAATTTAAACTTATTTTCTATATTTCAGAGAAATAGTTATATATCAGCAATTGAATTTCTCATTTACCAACTAATTATGTAAAATAAATCTGTAAATTGATCAAACTGCTATATGAAATATGAAAATTATATCATTCAGGAAATCTCATGAAAAATGACATCTGCAACCCTAAATGTGTTAATTCACAATTCAGTCAATATTTTCAGTATCAAGAATTAAAACAAATGCATCTTCTGATTAACATTTTAAAACGGCATGTATAATCTCCTGGAATTGTAAGATCTTATAGAATTAGAGTTCTGTAACAATTTATTTTAAGCTCTCAGTTTGATTTGCTTCAAATAATAAAGAATGCAGTGGCAAAATGTTCACTGCTTTTTTTTTTTTTTTAACATCTTTATTGGGGTATAATTGCTTTACAATGGTGTGTTAGTTTCTGCTTTTTCATTGCTTTTTAAGATGATGGGTATTACACACATGTACCATTGGGAAGTTTTGGGGTAATTCTCACATATACTACTGCTGTGGGCAAGAAAAAAGACTCAAAACAGTTTAAAGTAAAGAATACACCATATGTTATCTTCAACCATATCAATCAAATAGCTGCCACCTAACCTGTAGTATACGTTATTTTACTCTGGATCTCTTGGAAATACGTAGATGAAAAGAATGGAAACAATATAACATAATATATTTTAAGGAGGGAGTAACACTACAGGAAAATCTAGCCACTCAATTCTCTAAATTTTTCATTCTGAGTTCCAAAAATTTTGGCTATGGGTCCCTGAGAGAATATCTATTCTAAATATTTCCTGCTGCTTGTTGGTTGGTTGGTTGGTTGGTTTTGTATTAAAGTAAAAGTAGATGTGGTTTGGGCTTGGAAGGAGGTTTAATTGGGTAGAAGCTGTAGTTCTTAAAAGATTCCAATGTGAATATTTTCAAAGCAGCAGGCTTCATGAACCTATATTTTCAGTGTTTCTATACAAGATAAATGCATGACAATCCTACTATATTCTTAAGATATTTTTTATAGGTGGACAAAAGCTCTCATATTCAAGAGTCACTTTGCATAAGAACACAAAAGAGATTTGCATGAATCCCCTCTCTTTTTGTTTAAACTATAATATATGGATGAATGTAAGGTGAGATTCTTCTTCCATATAATTATCCCTCAGAAAAAGAGGCATCTTATCTAAAGTCCTTATAAAGTCTCTCACAATACCAGGCACTCTCTCAATTACTTTATTTTGAACAAAGTACAGTTTAGGGAAATAGCATTAACCTGAGACGCCAACTGATGAGAATTTTGGATAGTTTTAGCAGTCATTCGCTTGATGGGACCGGTAAAAACAGAAGCCAAGGGATTTAATACTGAGTTAGTAATTATTTTGGGAGACATGACCTAAAAATTCAAAGTGTTTTTGAAAACAAGTATTTTAAAGATCACTAAAAAAAGTAATAGAGTAAGTGGTTACTGGAGACTATGAGTAGTAAGTGGGTTTTTATGGCCAGAGAAAAGATTTCCAGTGATGGCATCATACGGTTTCACAATCTTGCACCCCAAACCGCTTAGACTGAATTCCAGATGACAGGTGGCAGAAACATACCAGCTGCCTGAAAAGGTGGTACCATTCTGATGTCAAGAATGCACGGGAGGGGGAGTTAGACTAAAACGACATCATAAACTATAAGGTTGAGAAGAGAGAAATACTTCTAAAAATATTCTACAAGATATATGCTTTAAAGTATTATCTATGTCTAAATTAGTAGATTACATATTATAAGTAGACACTTGGCCAGTTCATCCATGCCCCTCAAAGTTTACATAGTCAATTTAGCTGAAAACTTTTCTCGGTTTTCTCTTTAGACAAATGGGAAATTGCCTACTATTCAGAGAATCATTAAAGATGTGCACAGATATCCAGCCACAGCCATATATCAAGGCACGGATATAGCAATGACAGAGCTCAATATATTTTGTCAAGAGAGGAACTCACTGCAGATATCCAATGGATCATCCATGGATCTTATCCTAGCGCCCATAATATTAATGGACCCATTTAGCAGAGAATGTGAATCTGTCTTAAATTCCTTTCTAAGAAATCTAATGTGAAGTTCTCATACTTATGATTTTAGAATGAAGCATGAAATATAGGATGAGGTATTTTAAAAATAACATATTGGGCTTCCCTGATGGCGCAGTGGTTAAGATTCTGCCTGCCAATGCAGGGAACACGGGTTCGAGCACTGGTCTGGGAAGATCCTACATGCCACGGAGCAACTAAGCCCGTGTGCCACAACTACCGAGCCTGTGCTCTAGAGCCCGCGAGCCACAACTACTGAGCCCACGTGCCACAACTACTGAAGCCCATGCGCTTAGAGCCTGTGCTCTGAAACAAGAGAAGCCATCGCAATGAGAAGCCCACACACTGCAAGAAGAGTAGCCCCCAAGCACTGCAACTAGAGAGCCCACGTGCAGCAATGAAGACCCAACGTAGCCAAAAATAAATAAATAAATAAAAATTAAAAAATAAAAATAGCATATCAAGTGCCCCTTTTTGTCAACAGCTATCAGGATTAAACACACATTTAATGGTACCGTCAATTCTTTATAACCACATTTGTAGACTTACGGTCTCCTAAACTCTCTTCTTCTGCTCTCATCAATTGCTGGTAGGGATGTAAATTGCAACAATATTTTAGAGGGCAATTTGGTAATGTACATAATAAGCTTTAAATTGTATATAACTTTTGCCACAGTAATTCCAATTTAGAAAAGTTACCCTATGAAATAATTAAAGAGGTGCACAGAAATTCAGCCAGAGTATGTTCATAACAGCATTGTTTATAATAGCAACCATCTGTAAACAACATAATGGGATGATAAAGAAATATACTTTGACACATACATATGATACAATACGCTGCAGCCATGAAATAATTTTGTAGAAGTATATTTTTGGCATGGAAATATATTCAAGAAATACTGTTAAGTAAAAGGGAGGTGACAGAGCAATACACATTTTATGATCTATTTTTGTAAGACAAATGGATGTATGTGCCTAGAAAAAAGTTTGGGGTGAACTATACCAAAATGTTAACAGGGTTTATCTGTAGGGGCTACATTATAAATGTTTCTCTCTCTTTTTTTTTTTTTTTACATGTTTTCTATCATTCCTTTGATAAATATTTTTTATGTCAATCATTTTAATGCTTTAAAGAACCACCTCTAACATTCTGCCATAAAATTGTATTCATAAGGATTTTTGCTTAACTCTGTAGCACTTTTAGTATTTATAGTGGCATAATTCCTCATTTCCTGTGACACTTCTAGATTTGACAGCTGCCCATCAAGCAAACTTGATTCATCATAAAACATTCTAGAATATGAGTCAGAGTCCAAGTCTCCCAACAATTCCCACATTCTTGACTAGGTAAGAATGAAACAGTCTGGCTGGGAACTCATTCCTGTGCAGCCCAACTATGGCAGAAGAGACCAGAGCAGAATATTTCAGGCTTACTGGAAGCAGCAGATATAGCAAGAACAGCTTTTATTCCCAAATATTATTCAGAACATTTGAAAAGCATAAACTGTTTCCATGTGTTTTTTCTTCCTGTATCTGTTCTCTCTCTGTCGCCTTTCCCGTTTAGTTTTTTAGAGCTAAATTTCTTCTTATTCCTCACTTAACATTCATTCAGTAAATATTTATTGAGGATTGCTAAGTTTCTCCATACTTGTCACTTATACTCAACTGTTATCCTTTCCTGTTTTCCCACATAACTTTATACTTATTGAATGCAATCACTTTGATCTAGTTCCTTGCCTTGCCTGGGCAGAAACCTGGCTCTTTTCAGATGCCGTAACTTTCCCAGCAGCATGTCACTCTGGATTGAGAGGTCCATGAGGGAAAGATAAATGATGCCTGCTTTATTCACTACTAAGTACCCAGTGCCTTGCGAGTGGAAGACATTCCTTGTGTTCATCAATATTCGGTTCTTCTTTTTTTCTGGGCACACGAAAGACTCCACGTTCATCCCCTTCAAGTAGGAGAGGCCACAG